TTTACCAACGAAATATTTGCAACCACAAATTCGTTGTTAATTTGAGGGTCGCTGATATTGCCAACGGATTGTGCCGTAGGTAAAGAGTAAATATTTTACCAACGAAAATTCCATTGGTAATGTATGAATTTTTTACCAACGAAATTTCTGTTGGTAAAAATCTTAACTAACACCAACCGACTTTTCGTTGATAAATGTCTACCATTACAATTGGTAAAAATCAATGTTGTATATAGTCGTATAGGTGTGAGGCATAGTAAAAATATATATATATATATGTGTGTGTGTGTGTGTGTGTGTGTGTGTGTGTGTGTATTTATTTATTTATTTACTTTTTTTATAATTGTTATTATTATTTATTTACTAATTATAATTTTTTTAAAAACTTTTAAACAATTGAATTGAAAAGCCAAAATATTGTTTAACCATTTATTGGACCACAAATTTATAGAGGACAACTCCAAAGACTTTATTGTAACTTCTGATGTAGGATAATTGAATTACTTTTACCAACGGATAATCCGTTTTTAATTACCAACGGAATATCCGTAGGTGAAAGATTCAAATGTTAAACGGTCATATTAGGCACAGAATATCCGTTAGTAAAGAGATATTATCATTACCAATGGAAAATTCATTGTTGATTATCGTAGTTGAAAGTGAATTACTTTTACCAACGAATAACCCGTTTCTAATTACCAACGGATTGTTTCCGTTGGTAATATTTGGCACGTCACCTACGGATATTCCGTATGTGAAAGATCCAAATGTTAAATGGTTACATTAGGCATGAAATATCCGTTGGTAAAAGGATATCATTGTTACCAACGGAAAATTCATTGCTAATTATCGTAATTAAAAGTGAATTACTTTTACCAACGGATTGCATCCGTTGGTAAATCTGTTGGTAATTTTTCGTTGGTGAAAAACTGTTTTTAGTAGTGATTTGAACCATATGAACGATATTATTTTGTCAATTATTTAGTTATTATCAACATATATTTGACATATTCATTCGACTTGATTGGACAGTAAATTAAATTCATTAAAAAAATTGAACAGAAAATAAATATTTTTAGAGTTTTCTTTTTTCAATTGATATATTCTATGTGTATCTATAAAAATAATTTCATTTGATATATTCTATGCATATTAAGCGGAAAATATATTTAGTTCAGATTTAAATGTAAATGGAGGAATTATTCTATTTGATTTCGTCAACTATTTAAATTGTTTTCACAAACTAGTTTTTATTTCATTTGAATCAAAAGTTCATTCTACATAAACAATTTCTATTAATTATTTTTCAATATTCTCACATCTTACAATTGTATTTTTAGAGCACATATAATGCATTTCAAAATAATATGCAAAAGACACGTTCAACTATGACTAGTTAAATACAAAATTCCTTTCATAGAGAAACAAACTAAAAGTCGAGGACAATATTTAAAGCAAAATTTTTGGAAAACACTCACAAGAAAACAGAAATAATCAGAAAAATATAAATATGAAACAGTCTCAGTACAACAAAATAAGAAATTTTGAGAAGCGCCCACAAACAAAAACTGGCCAGAAAAAAAATGCTATAAGATATATTAAAAATTCAACAAAAGATTCCACTAGCAAAAGTACAATTTTAAATTCTAATTGAACTTCAAAAAAGTTGTAAATGGCAACAGAGTTAAAAGGTTTTACCTTGTGTATCTTTACTCGCTAGTAACCTCAGAAAATCTGCTTACAGTACCAAGAAAGTTGAATCACAAAGAGAAGATAATGGAGGTAAGGGTTGAGGGCATAATTGTAATTGTGGATTTGAACACAACAGAGTTGGTTTTTATATATTTGTACGACCCCGCTACACAAACATGGATAGTTGACGGGTTGGCACTCAATTAAAAAATAATAAAAATTGAAGACTAAAACGTACCATTTTCTCCCATATCAAATCGACACCCACAATAGATTTTGGGTTGTGTTATGGGTACATTATGAACACCAAGAATTATTCATAAGTTTTTTCCAAATTGAGACCCGCACGAAATGCACAAACGTGCCCAGGCCTCACCATTGCCTGCCACAGTTCAAACGAAGGTAACGTCGGTGGCTCAGTGCTCCTGCAGTACTTCCATCATGGGTTTGGCCATCTTCTGCTTTACCATTTCCGGCCTCGTTTGGAACAAAGGTTGTTATCGCTACGGGGTCATTCCCATCTAAATTTCACTGACTCTTGATTTACCATCACTAGCCGATAGAGTAATAAGATAACACTTTCCTATCTGTCTCACACCATTTGATGTATTATTTTGATAGTATTTTCTTACCTCATATATTAAATTACTAACCGTCACATGTATGTCACGTGGGGTAACTTTGACAATAAGTAATTGTAAATGACATTATTCTACTAGTTAGTGATTATTTATACACAAATGCTATTCGTACAGATTTATTTGCACAGTCTGTACATATGCTCTCACATGGGGGTAGACCCCACACATAGCGTCCACATGTGAGGTCCACCCCATGTGAGAGGCCCTATACACACCCTGTGCAAATGGGTCTGTACAAGGAGTTTATTCCTTATTTATATTTAGTGAGATTTACCATTGATACACTTAAAAATGACTTTCCATGTGATACATCGTCTTTTTGGTTAACTCCAAATATTTATGATTATACCAAAGTAAGGAAACTTAATTAACAAGTCAATTAACGCTTAAACCCTGCCGGCCAGAGCTCTTCCATTCTCATTTATTCTTCATAAATTCTTTCATATTTTCCATTGCCAGGTAAGCAGGCGACTCCTTATCATATTCTCGGTTAATCTCTTATTTTCTTTCTCTGGAAGCTCTTAATTGATTTGATGATCATAATATTTGCTTGACATTCTGACGATATTCAATAAATTTCTAACATGCCCATTTGTAGAGATTTATTATTTAATTCATATTATATGACATGGGCTAAAAGTGTTTGATGATTATCTCTATAATGGAAGGTTTGATGTCAGCAAAGTGAGATGAACTTTCACCCCCATTGTTCTGCTATATGATCTTTATAACCTTTGAATTTGTACTGCTTTTGTCACAAAATTAATTTTTATTTCGTATAATTTCATATGCAAGTGACATAATTTTATATATGTGCAACGTAAAATATGTATGTTATTTCAAATTTAGATTTGTGGTCATGAAATGGGCTTGTCCTGTTTTCTTTAGAATTGCTAAATTATATGATTTGTAGATATAAATAAAGATTTGTGGGCCCATCAAAAATAAATAAATAAATAATGTTTTATGGTGTCACGAAGTGCTAGATCTATTCCATGGGTAGTCTTTGTAGTGTTTGTTATGCAAGTTTTGTTGATCAAAGCACATACATTCTTTCTAGGATGGAGTGTTTGTTTCAATAGTTCAAGAAGTGTGCCTGACACGGTATATCAATTAGCATATCCTTTTCTTTTTTCAAAATTTCCAACTTATGAGGGAGACTACGTCGACTCTTTCAGACAAGTTTATGACGTACATTTGTTTGATCTATGTTTTCTAATTTTCGACATGGACGACACGTCCTGGCCACATCAAGGACAGGGCGTGCCTCGTTTTTTGGCATTGTGAAACATAAACATAATGAATGCACTACAAGAACAATTCAATCCACGTATAAAAAATTTTAAAAGAAAAGTAGAGTACTCGGATTTCATGTGGTTCAGAGTTTCCTCCTACATCTACTGGAAAAAGGCTCCAAGATTGTCTTTCTTAATTCACCAAACAGTTTCAAGAATTGCACCTTCTACACTTTAAGTCTAAAATCTCAACCACAGAGAAATTCTCACTGTTTGTATCATGCACAAGAAGAAACCTCTCAAAATTGAATCAGGAAATGGACTTTCTTAACTCTCTGTTACGCTACATGTTACTGCCTCTGCCGACTTCTGGAATGAAACTGCTTCATCCCAGTTCTGGAGTTAACGAACAGAATATCATTGTGCAGAAGTCTGGAAGCAACGATCTTTAATTTTCATTGACTTCAATCCAGCTTCTAAACAAGTCTATAGAATAATTAGCCATTTGTCAACAGTAAAACTAGAAAATTTTAATAATTAGAACATTTGTGTAAATGATAATGGAAGAAAAATTTTATGTAGTTCATGTCAATTTTTTTTTTACATCTATTATCTTGATAAGACAGAAGTAACTCAAATCCAAAAGTTTCTCACCTCAAAATTTAAAATTAGAACTAGAAAAACCATAATGTTGTAGAATTTTTTATTTTTTATTTTTAAATGAATGAATATAAAGACATTATTGGCTTGTTTGTTGCTTGTTTTAAAAATCAATTTTTTAACCATTAGCTTGAAAGGTGGGTCCCACCCGTGAGTGAAGATGTCAAAAAAGACAGCTTACTATGTTAAGTAATGGTCAAAAAATTGATTTTTTGGATTGAAAAATCAGCACCAAAGAGGCTATATATACATGTGTAATTTAAAGAATTCTAAGTGATGTTTTTGTGTCCTAATTTTCTGAAAAGTTACTTTTTGATGTGTTCAACATTGTGCCGTGTATAGTGGTTATATCTATAGTCAGGTGGCCAACAAATATGAACCGAGTGAAGTATTAGATATTCTTTTTGGAGAGGTTCTCTTCAATCTTCATTGTTTTGTTTCCTAGTTAATTTCTTTTGGACGGTCAAATTTACAGCTTTGTTTATTTTTCTGCATTTCATGGAATCTTTTGTTGCTAGAATCTTCATTTGCAAGGGCGATGTGATTTGTAAATTTGTTGTGCTTTAGAAATAAAACAGAAAATGAGAAATGCCCATCTAACTTCCCTTTGTGTTTATGGTCTGAATGCCAGATATTTTATCGAAACTTTGTAGTAGGCACTCATGGGGACTGTTGTTGACACTGGAAACAAGGTACTTCTTTTGATCTTGTTTAAGTTTCACGTTCTGATGCTTTTACAAAATTCAGAGTATTTATTATAAACTAACTTTCATTTCAGGAAGCATATGGAAGTGTAGATTCTAACAAGAAAGATAAAGTTATTTTTGCCCTTGGTAAGTTATGTGGTTTCCATATTTTTATAGTATTATGGTTTAATGAATCTTTGTTTACATAGAAGTTCTGTTTGCATGTTCAGCCCAGTTGAAATTTGAAGTAACTTTATATCGTTATCTTTGATGCCTCTCTTTGGTAACTTCAATACGGTTTTTAATATATTCATGCAATAGTTATCTATTATATTTTGAACTTGGTGTCTTCCTAATAAGGATAATAGTAATGGAAACAAAATTCTTTAGTGAAGATTGTGTTTACGTTATATTAAGTAGCTATGATGCTTGGGTTAGGGTACGGATACGTATAAAAGTGTCGGATCTTTTATTTTCTAAAATGTACGATATGTGAACATGACTAAAAAGATTTCAAATTTTGGACATGGATACATGAATATATCTTTCAAGCTTCAATTTTTTTTACTAACCAATTATATCATTTTGAATAGACCAAAATCAATTGTCCATAACGAAAGAAATGAATATTGAATAAGGGATTAAGACGAATAAAATATAATTTTGGAATTTAGTTTTTAATTATGAGAAATTAATTACTAAATATTATATAAAATAGAAAATTAGGGACTTGATTGCAATTTGGACTTAGTTGAGCACTAATTAGCACTATATGGAACTCATTTTCATTTTTATATAAACAAAAACTTAAACCACCGATACAAAGAGGGAAAGATGAAAAAAACGAAGAAAAGGGAAAGAAAAAAGAAGGAAGAAAAAGAAGGGAAAAATCTAGTGTCGTTGCTTCTCTCCACCCTCTCAAAGGTGGTGCTAGGCTTATAGAAAAGAAAAATGGGAGGGAAAAGGAAAAAGGAAAAAAGAAGAAGAAGAAGCAAAAATGACAAAATGTCCGGTTGAAACTTGAAGGATCGATACATATCCCATACCCATACCCATGTCATGTCATGTCCAACATGGGTATTCCGACCATTTCAAAGAGTCCGAGCATCAAAGTTAAGTAGCATTCACTTCAAGACAATGAATATTTATCCAGTTCTTTTGTTTGTTAATTTGCTTTAACTTAAAGAATTCCGATATGTATGTTATTTTCTTTCCTTTAAACTGGAGCAGGTGGTCCTTGCAGTGGCAAGGGCACTCAGTGTCCAAAAATTGCCCCGAACTTTGGTTACACCCATCTTAGTGCTGGTGATATTCTCCGAGCAGAGAAAGAATCTGGTTCTGAAAACGGGTACTGTTTCATTGTAGTGCCATATTTTTTTATGCACCTACTCAGATACTCTTAAAAAGGAAAATAAACCATGTATAAATTTTTACACAAGAGGATAATTTGTTCTTCCTTTATCAATGCTCTCATTTCTCAGCTTTATATTTGTTTCTTTAAATCATTTTCTTGGTAATCCTTCTCTCTCTCGGATGAAAATTTTGTTTATCAACTAACCATGAAGGTACATTCTAGTCTTCTAGATGTGTCTTCTGTCTAGCGAAAACGACAGTTGTAGTAATTTTCTTGAATGTATGTTGTTTTTTACTTCACGTGAACTCTATCCAAAAGAGGCATCAACTATTACTCAATCTCTTTAAACTTTTATGCAGCATTCCAGATTGTTCTGTCAAACTCTTTGAAGTTGCAACTATTCTAACTATTGGGGCTGCATGTACAGGACTATGATTCAGAGCATGATGAATGAGGGGAAACTTGTACCTTCAGAGATAATAGTTAAGCTTATCCAACAAGCAATGCAGGAAAGTGGGAATGATAAATTTCTTATAGATGGTTTCCCTCGAAATGAGGAGAATCGTGCGGAATTTGAGTCTGTTGTAAGTCTCCGATTATAACTATTCCTTAATTCTCTATCTGTTTCCAGCACCATTATCTACTATATCTGCCTTTCTTTAGTTATATATTGTCTCCATTTTCTTTTAGAGCATTCGAAGAATACATTATGCATGTCATTGGCATTTTCATGTTTTATTGGAAGCTTCTGTCATTTGCAGATAGGAATTGAACCTGAATTTGTTATTTTCTTTGATTGTTCCGAAGAAGAAATGATTAAGCGCATGTTGAGCAGGAAACAGGTATTAAATAGCTTTCTTTATCTTCCTAATCCAAAATTTCTCGTATTTCCATTTCTCCCACCATTTTCTGTCTCTTGTATTTTGTTTTAATTCTTTATTTATTTGGCTTTACTTCTTTCTTTGTTCTCTTGTTCTCTATTTGAAGAGTAGAGAAGATGATAACGTTGACACAATGAAGAAGCGACTGGAAGTTTATAGACAATCTAGTCTCCCAGTGATTGAATATTACAACTCCAGAGGGATGGTTCGAAAGGTAGTAATAGCATATTTCGTCAATATTCTTCCTTTTCATTCCAAGAAAAAGGCTGAAATGGAGCTGACATTTCTTTGGATTTTAGATTGATGGCGAGAAATCCATTGAAGAAGTTTCCGAGGCGGTCAATGCTGTTTTCACTTCATTGATTGACAAGGTAGAAACAGCATATTGATGTTCTGCTTAAAGATGCTAAATTACCCAATTTATACTATCAGTTTCGAATGTAGAAAATGATTTGATGAATAGTTCAAGCACTAGCATTGATGAGTGAATTACAGATGGATAAGTGCCCTTTTTATTTCAATAAAAAGTAACAGGATCAAGTATATGTTTTGGTGTGTTTTTATGTCTGCTCAAATTAAATGCCATGGTTGTCTGGTATTCAAGAAAAAGATAACTATAATATCACTTGTCGTGGTTTGGAAAAAATAAAAAATAATAATAAATATTGGTTGTAGTCTTCTTAGCATGTTGATGCAGTGTTGCTTTCGTTCATGTTTCATTAAGTGTTTGAATTTATATATATATATATATATAGGGGCACATCCCTCCCTCACCATGAAGCACACACATACGTCTTCTCTTACTACATTTTTCCACAACTACACGGTCCTGCTATCCATTTCTTGAATCAATTAATCTCTGCTGCATCAACAAGAACAATTAAAGACAATCGAGTTCCTAAGAACACAGAAATTATTCTGCAGTACATTGTTTATTTTCATGGTATCAGAGAGCTGTCCTAGTAGCTCTTGAAATCTATTACCTTCCGCTACGTCATGGGAAAAACCATGACTACAGAAACATCAATAGATACCGATAAATCGGATCTCTATTCTCTACGTCAATCGGATCATCCAGGCATTGTTCTCGTCTCCAAACTGCTTGAAGTCGGATCATCCAGGCATTGTTCTCGTCTCCACACTGCTTGAAGGAGAGGACTACGGCACATGGAGTCGTGCTATGAGAATTGGTTGAAGCGCTAAAAATACTATCAAACCGCCTCCTTCGACAAATGCAAGTTTCGAGTCATAGCAACGGTGCAATGATATGGTCTTGTCATGGCTATTAAACTCTGTTAATCCAGACATAGCAAGTAGCATCATGTATGCCAAAACTGCTGCAGAGGTTTGGGCTTAGCTATAAGAGCGTTTCTCTCAAGGGAATGACTCAAGGATTCATCAAATCAAGCGAGTAATCGCAAAACATAGACAAGGGCAGAAATCTATTTCTGTATGCTACAACAAACTTAAGGCTTTTGGGGATGAACTTTCATCCTAGCATGACTCTCTGTGGTGGCATGGAAAAACATAACGAGAGAGAAGAGAAGGAGAAAGTCGTGCAATTTTCTCATGGGATTGAATGGTGGGTATTCTGCCACTCGTGGACAGATCTTGCTGATGCAGCCCTTACCCGACACTCGCCGTGTTTATTCGCTCGTCCTTCAACAAGAAAAACAGGTGGAAGTTTCTCTCAATTGTGGCAATATTAATCACCATGCTCTGTTTGTAGATCAGCACAGCAAAGCCATACAAGCAAATCAAGCTCAGAAGCAAAAACAAAGGAACACATTACATTGTTCATACTGTGATCAAGACTATCACAGCATTGAGAAATGTTATTTTCTTCATGGATTTCCAGTGGGTCATAAACTTCATGGTAAAAATGTCAAGCCAACCAACATCGTTCTAGTGCCAATTCTGTAAAAAATGAATCCGAAAAAATGGCAAATACAGGTACAAAAAATTAACGATTTTACTCATTATGCTTGGATACATCTTATGAGTTTCAAATCAGAGAATATTAAAATCTTTCTTCTCCTGGGTGGAAACACAACTCAATCGTTACGTTAAATCCTTGCGTACAACTATAGTGGTCCTCTTCAGCGTTGTGGTGAAGATTTATGTTATGGTGTGACTATTGTTTTAAATCAAAGAAAATAACCGAGCAAAGCTAATGCTAGGGGTGGACGCGGATCAGTTCGATTCGGTTCTAAAGATAACTGAACCGAACCAAAATTTTCGGGTATCTAGTAAATGGAATCGTCGGGTCCAAATATAATTATGGAACCGTTCGGGTTCGGTTCCGTTCGGTTCAGTTCGGTTCGATTCGATTCCGTTCAGTTCTGTACTATAATTAAATTTTTTAACATTTATAACAACATTATATAGATACAATTAATGATACATTCAATGGTTTTGGAATGTTAGATACTAATAAACTACCTTGTTCAAATGATCGCTATGGTCAAAGTGTCGGCCAACGATTGTATTGGTTTTGGAATATTAGCGAGACTGCGAGAGTAAGTACGAGAGTCGAGACAACGTTATGCACTTTAGTGTAGGTGTTTAGGGTTATTTAGTAGATTGGATCTTGTTGGGCTAAGAAATGAAACAATAAAATGGGTAATTGGGCCAAAAATTGAAAAATTATAAATGAAACGAATTATTGGGCCAAAAATTTGGATTTAGAAATTGTTAATTTGTTAATTTGTTTAGAAAAAATTAAAATTAAAATAATTTGATTTACTCAATATAAAAAAAAATTAGAAAGATTCGGTTCTTATTCGGTTTTTCGATTCTTAGTCTAGAACCGAGAACCGAACCGTACCCATCGGTTCTCAATTCAGATACCTATTTGGGTATTTAATTTGACAAGAACCGTCAAATTCCGTTCGGAAGATTTGTTCAGCCCTAGCTAATGCTGACAAGTAAAATTAAATAAAAATTGCTATCTTAGTCATAAGCGGATCTACAATATGGGCCTCTGCCCTCACACTGCATTTGAAATCTAAGATTTTGCAACATATATTTCAAGATTTTACAAAAAATCTTTAAAAAATAAAGAAAATAAATAAATAATTAAATTCTTTATTATTTTTAATTTTGCCCCCACAACTTTACTCTCTTGGCTCTGTCCCAGACCTTAGTCCCTCATTTCCTAACAAACAAAGTTGGCTTCGTTTATTGTTCATTTAAGTTGGCTCAAACACCAATGGTTAGTATGTATTTCATTAGGATAATGGGAGAGTTAGTTATGACAGCTTGAGATCCATAAGATACTAGCAGTTGGATTTGCTTAAATTAAATGTCAAGATTATTTGTCAAAAATACTTGTCAAATCCATGTGTATGAGGAACCCTTCCCATATATATATATATATATATATATATATATATACGCACACACACACACACACACACCACCAACCAAAGATTCAACGACCAACTAAAAGTGGTTGCTATAAAACACAATCACTTTCCAAATATTGGTTGGCAGATGTTTTGGCATATTAAAATTGGACTAATTTGGTTATGCTCTTCAGCGACCACGGAATGGTCGCTGTTGTGATGATTCAACAACCAACTTTTCATTGGTCGTTGAAAAGCATTTTTTGCTTGTTTAATCTATCACTCATGTGGTCGTCTAATATTTTTGCTTTCCCACGAATGAACGAAACATTTCAAGCTCACATGTTGAAAAGAAGGGATTCTCCATGAATTCACCGTTCATAAATGCTTACAAAAACACTTGTTTGTCTAGTAGGGCGACGAGAATTAGATAACTAATATAGTAGAAGATGTGAATGAATGGATATGTACACTCAATACTATTCGTTGTTGATTCTAACAAATATCAAAAATTAATAAAGTTGAGAGAAATTTCAAAGTTCATGCAATAGCAATTAAAAAGAAAAACAAACCCTATTTGTTATTTTAACTTATCAGCCCTAAGAACTCAAAAATCAAATGAGTAAGTGGTCCGAGACTAAAGGTAGATCATTTACAATAATAAAAATAAATAGCAAACCAAACCATTACAAACATGAGTTAAGCTCTTGTTTTACACCATTTGCTTAATAGAAATCTTGCCATCTAGCTTGCTTCGGGCTTAACTTCTTTTGTGAATGGAAGTAACTTATAGTCACGTTGTCCGTTTTGATCACAAAACTGGAACCCAAAAAATAGTGACGCCATACCCGAAAGTAATGCACAATGGCCGTCATTTCTTTTTCTTGCACCGTGTAACGCCATTCCGTATCATTCAACTTGTGGCTCTCGAAGTCAATCTTCTTTGTTGTCCTATGTATCAAACATATTTTAAAATCATCAAACAAGTTTTTCTAGCTTATAATCTTGAAGAGAGTCCAAAATTAGCACAAAGTGTCATAAAGTTTAAAGTATTTATTTTTCTCTGCAAGCGTGTTAATATATTAATCAATCTCAAATTACCAGCTATGTAAAAGCTACTGAGCAACTTCACGAGGGTAATTATCAAATTAATTAATGAGTTGCGGCATATGTTTAGTTTGAAAAGAACGCAGCACAACTATAATAACTAATACCAAAAACAATAAATACGAAACCTATGTGAATGAGTGAGTGACAAACACGTGTAATTATATATATATATATATATATATATATATATATATNTAGTGCCTTACAGAATATTTGCAATGTAGCCTAATTTTATTTTTTATTTTTTTGGGTCTTTTCGTCGAAGCCATATTAGTTTTATTTATCTAGAAATGTTTTGAAAAATCTTCTGTGCAAAAAAAATGGAAATTTCTTACTTTACATTATGATAATCTAAATTGAGTGCAATTGGAATTTTCTTACTGCACATTATGCTAATCTTCATAAGAAAATTGAGTGCAATTGACTTGAAATTTAGTGCTTGTTTAAGTTTTTCATTACAACGAAGAAGAGTAATGAGTTTCACAAAATATGTTGATATTAAGTGGGTAATAATTATTAATATATATTTACAAGTAGTATTTAATTTTGACTTTAAATTATAAAGAGTAATGAAATCAAAACAAGCATACGAGATCGTTCTTTGTATCAATATATTATAGTGTGACTTGTTTTCCAAATTTAATTTAAATTCTTAGTGTTCGTTTGCAATAAGTCTTTAATGTTCTATGAATCAAAATTACAAGATGATCGCATGATATTTATTTGAAATCAACGAGATTTCACTCACACATTTGTTCGTCTTCTCGTGCTTATGCCAACTCAAATTAGAGACCATGCATAAAAATATGAAGACAATCATTTATAACAAGAATTTTTTTAACAGGTGTAATAGGTTATTTAGAAATTAACAATTTAATCAAATATGTAACGTAGCATAAGCATGGTAGATTTATCTTTTAAAAAAAAAATTATTAATATTTCATCGATGACATTTTAAATAAATTCCTCCAATAAAATTAAGGTATTTTTTGGAAGATGACTGAACGCTGATAAGTTCGTTTCCATGCTATTAGAATTGATAAATTATTGGTGATTGAGTGAAA